TTATGAAAAATTTCAAATTGTAAGGGGTTAAGATTGCATTTTTTGTTAGCAAAACAGGGCAAAATCAGATGTTTATGGAAAATTTCAAATTGTTAGGGGTTAACCTTGCATTTTAGCAAAATTGGGCAAAATCAAATGTTTCTGGAAAATTTCAGATGTAAGGGATTATCCTTGCTTTTTTAGTGAAATTTGGTAAAATTAGATGTTTATGGAAAATTTCAAATTATAAAGGGTTAACCTAGCATTTTTTAAGCGAAATTGGGGAAAAAATCTGATGTTTCTGGAAAATTGCAGATTCTAAGGGGTAAACCTTGCTTTTTGAATAAGATTGGGAAAAATTAGATGTTCATGAAAAAAAATTCAAATTGTAAGGGGTTAACCTTGCATTTTTTTAGCAAAATAGGACACAATCGGATGAAATTTGGGAAAAAAATCTGATGTTTCTGGAAAATTGCAGATTGTAAGGGGTTAACCTTGCTTTTTGAATAAGATTGGGAAACATTAGATGTTCATGAAAAAAAATTCAAATTGTAAGGGGTTAACCTTGCATTTTTTTAGCAAAATAGGACACAATCAGATGATTCTGGAAAATTGCAGATTGTTAGGGCATAACCTTGTATTTCTAGCAAAATTGGGCAAAAAAGAAATGTTTATTAAAAATTTTAAACTGTAAGAAGTGTACCTTGTATATTTAGTAAAATTTGGCAAAATCAGATTTGTATGAAAAATCTTAAATGGTAAGGGGTTAACCCCTGCTTTTTAGCAAAATTTGGAGCATATTTTACTAAAATTGGGCAGAATCAGATGCTTCTATAAATTCAGATGTAAAGTTTCCGCTAAAAATACAAGGTTCACCCCCTAGAATTTGAGATTTTTTTTCATATAAATCTGATATTGCCCAGTTATGCTAAAAATGCCAAGTTAACCCCTTACAATCTTCAATTTTCAAGAAACATCTGATTTTGCCCTAATTTGGCAACGTTAACCCCTTACAATTTTTGATTCTTCATACAAATCTGATTTTGCCCAATTTTGCTAAAACTGCAAAGTTAACCCCTTACAATCTGAAATTTTCCATAAACACCTGATTTTGCCCTATTTTGCTAAAAATGCAAGGTTAACCAATGACAATTTGAAATTTTTCATAAACATTTAAATTTTCCCAATTTTACTAAAAAAGCAAGGTTAACACCTTACAATTTGAAATTTTCCATCAACATCAAATTTTTACAAAATTTCACTAAAAAAATTAAGGTTAATTCCTTACATTGGAATTTTTTTCAGAAACATCTGATTTTGTCTCTAAAAGATAAAATGCGTTATACTTGGTGCACTTTAAGTTTTTATGTCGTTTTTGAGTTGCGCAACAAACAACGTTCAGCCTTTGTCTCGAGTTGGTTGCGAAATCTGAAGAAGTTGCGTTGACCAATTGCGCAAGAAACCGAAGGAAACAAATTCCTTACCAAATATGGTCTTGTTTTGCTGATATGCAGATTGTGAGGTTTAGATTGACCAATGAAGATTCATGATATCTTACCCTGACCAATCAGATGAAAGGTCTGTCCAATGGCCTGGGTATTTAGCCAAGACCACGAGGCTTGGCGGCCCTCATTGCGTTGCAGCTTTTCAGCAAGAAACCTGACCAAAACTTCTATTTTTCGTCATCCCGCCTCCTCCCCTTCATTCCGCCTTAATGAATGCATCGGCCTTATTTGCGGGATTCAGACAGCCATGGTATTTTGTTTTGAAAAACTGTTTTTGTAGAATGTAGTGTTTAATAACGTTTTATGTTAATTAGAGATTTATGAATTACACAGACTTGCAATCTCTCCTGCTGTTCCACGAGAGATAATATTGTTCGATCCAGCCGTACGACGATTGAACAGCACATCTGTGTTAATATCACAATTAAAAACACAATAAAATTAGGACCAAAAGTAACGTCCATGGTTTTGGGTCAGGTGTGCCCGCTAAAAAAGATGACCAAGGTTAAGGTCCAATTGGTTTGGGTCAGGTGTGCCCGCAAAAGATGACCAAGGTAAAGGTCCAACTGGTTCGGGTCAGGTGTGCCCACAAAAAGATGACCAAGGTAAAGGTCCAATTGGTTTGGGTCAGGTGTGCCCACTAACAAGTTTAAGGGACCATAGTGATGGTCCATCGTTTGGTTATCTCAAGGCGTTTTAGTCTAATAAATGGCTGCTTTTGGCTGCAGCAAAGAGCCAAGATTATTTGTTTCCCCTTTATCTCATTTGCGTCCAAGTATAATGCAAGGTTAACCCCTTTCAATCTGCAATTTTCAAGAAACATTTGATTTTGCCCTAATTTGGCAAAGGTTAACCCCTTACAATTTTTGATTTTTCATACAAATCTGATTTTTCCCAATTTTGCTAAAAATGCAAGGTGAACCCTTTACAATCTGATTTTTTTCAGGAACACCTGGTTTTGCCCTATTTTGCTAAAAAATGCAAGGTTAACCCCTAACAATTTGAAATTTTCAGATGTAAGGGGGTTAACCTTGCTTTTTTAGTGCCCTAATTTGGCAAAGGTTAACATCTGATTTTGCCCAATTTTGCTAAAAATGCAAGGTTTACCCCTTACAATTTGAGACTTTTCATAAAAATCTGATATTGCCAAATTTTGCTTAAAATGCAAGGTTAACCCCTTTCAATCTGCAATTTTCCAGAAACATCTGATTTTGCCCTAATTGGGCAAAGGTTAACCTCTTACAATTTTTAATTTTTCATACAAATCTGATTTTTCACAATTTTGCTAAAAATGCAAGGTGAACCCCTTACAATCTGACATTTTTCATAAACACCTGATTTTGCCCTATTTTGCTAAAAAATGCAAGGTTCACCCCTTACAATTTGAGATTTTTCATAAACATTTAAATTTGCCCAATTTTACTAAAAAAGCAAGGTTAATCCCTTACAATTTGAAATGTTTCATTCACATCTTATTTGCCGTATATCACTAAAAAAAAGCAATGTTAACCCCTTACAATCTGAAATTTTCCAGAAACATCTGATTTTGCCCAATTTTGCTAAAAATGCAAGGTTCACCCCTTACAATTTGAAATTTTTCATAAAAATCTGATATTGCCCATTTTTACTAAAAATGCAAGGTTAACCCCTTACAAGCTGCAATTTTCCAGAAACATCTGATTTTTCCCAATTTTGCTAAAATCTAAGGTTAACCCCTTGCAAACTGTTAAATCAATACATGAAGTGTCCCATTTGACTTTTTCAAAACAAATTATTTTTCCAGTTTTTAGGGTAAAGGAATTTTCTCTTTTTCCTTTCTCTTTTGTTGTTGCTATATTTTGCGAATTAACTCATTCGTATGGAATGCTCATAGTCAATCAAAGAAGTTCACACACAGGGGCCTAAATTATATTTTTTTTTAATTTAATAGAGACGCATTGATCGTGCTATCATATACCATTCTATTACTATTGCGAATTACTGTATTGTTTGGAATGCTCACAATTAAAGACACGTTATTTGAAAGATGTATAAATAATATTTATACTACAATGTACATCTTTATTCTTTCCCGGTATAATTTATGGCGTTTCTTACGTCAATTGGCAATCGCGTCATTATATAATGATAGTCAAATTGATTAAACGAAACTGCGTTTTGATTATAGTCAATTATGAAATATTCATTGATTTATGACATACACCTTTGTTTCAATTTTGATACTACCCGTAGACCTGCCGAGCAGCTGTAGATATCAAACTAAACCAAAGTATAAAAGATAGAGGGTAAAAAAAAATAAAAAGTTATGTGCTAGTCAAGCTTTCAGGGATCGGTCTGAGCCATAACAATGCCCCAGCCGATCCCTTAGTTCTCTTCCGGGGTCTCGGCGTCCCCGACCAATACACACTTCCTTCCCTATCCATCCATATAACCCCGGAGGGCCAGGCACCATGTAAAAGCAAAGAGCTAAGGGAGGAACAGGGCGGCCCCTAAGCCCTGATCCTCCGAGTGGACCACATGCCCTGAACCTGTACGAAGGCGCCAACCTGGAACTCGCGGACAGTACCAGCAGCAGTGCTTACCGATTAAGCTAAGGTAATGTTGGTACTTTACGACGGGAAATTAAATCTCTTATAGTGAATAATTGAACTTATTCGTTAAAAACCAAAAAGACACCAGCGGGATTCGAACCAGGGACCCCGCTAACCGTGGACGACGAATCGTAACCACTTGGCCATTTCGTTACCTTAGAATTTTCCTTAAACTGAGAAAAGTTGTCTTTATAGGTGAGCAAACGCGCCAGGAAGATTACTGGGTCCATTTGCTTTACCTTAATGGGTAAAAACAAGTCGATATAATGAGCCCAGTGCACTGTAAAACGCGAGAACATGTGACACGTTTATAAAATAAACGCAGTGTTTTAGATTTAAACACTATGTGACAAAATTAAACACATCATGTGTTTTTAAACAAAACAGTTAGCGTTTAATGTCAACAGTGCTATAGGGTGTTTATTATGAGATCGGTTTTAGAAAATGGTTTAACTGTTCAATTTCACTAGTTAGCATTTTGTTTATTCCCAAAGAATAACACTTTGTTTAAAAAAGGCTTATTAACTAATTAGGACACTAATAATAACTCAAGTTATTAATTTAGCTGTTTGTGTTCAACACCTAATAAACACGGTACACGTCACGATGTTTAAATGTGACCACGTGATGTTAGGTCTTAACCAATAGGATTAAATCTGATTGCGTGCTGGCGCGGCATAATCGGGCCAGTTAATTACGCGGCACAAAGACAACCGCCATTTTTGTGACAATAATCTGGGCACACTAATAGAATAATGTAATGGCGAGAATTATTATCGTCATTCGTGGTAACAAAATTTGCACGGGTAATGAAACAATATACATGTATGATGTAGTCTCACAGAAGGCACTAACAGTTGGTCATGACCTAGGCTAGAGGTCAAGTTTGGTATGCATATTGCCAAGAGTACTCAAATGCAACGTATTCTGTGCATGCAGTACGACGGTTGTAGTTTGAACCAGTTCTGGAAGCTCCCACACAGGTGGTAAGTTTTGTCTTTTGTGTTGTTTGATTTAATTAATCCCGATATACAATATGAAAGATTTAGAAATACGAGATGAGATGAATTAGTGGGAGCAATTATTGGCCAAAGGATCGTGTGATAAAACATGAATATGAAGGGGAAAAAACAACCCTGATTTTGATTTCCTCATATTATTTTTCTTGGATGACGATGCTGTTATACAGTATAACTGCTGTGCAGCTCACAATATTATGAAGGAAGTTCTGTATTTGAGCCACATTATGGGGTGGTCTATGTTGAGTGTATACTTAATATGAGGCTTTAAGCCTATGGGGCGAATTACAATTGCAAACACGCAGTGTCAAAATGTTTGTAATCTTGGAAAATTCAGTGAAGTGGATTTTTTTTTGAAATCGTGATTTAACTATTCAATAAAAGCATGCTAGTGTTATCACCACTGCCTAAGTTATGTAAGCTGAAGGGGACCAGCATGAATGATTTTGAAAAGAAAATTCTAGTATTTGTAAGGTCAGGTACAAATTGTTTAACCATAATTTCCATTTCACATGATGTTATGGGCGTATATTGTTTTGATATTTTCTTTCTGTATATTTTCAGGGTGTGTCTTATCCCTTGCAGATGAAGGAAGCTATTGACTTTTAAATAAGGTAAGTGTCTTTTGGCATTGATCGTCATTTGGCAGTGCAGTGTGTGATTGTAAAGATCAGCTGTGTATAAAACTTTTGAAAAACCCGCAGTGCGTGTACATAAAAGATGATCCCCCAATTTTTGGTACAATGCAGTATTTCACAGGGATTCAAAACCATTCGTTTTACAGAACATGTGTTATGTTTTGAATATAGGGTCCTCTGTAGACGCTCGATGTAATTGCATACATGAACGTTCAGCAGAACACCAAGTTTGAACGTGGCGAGGGTACGAAGACGAGGAGAGTGCTAACTATTCATGAGGTAATTTTGTATTGTAAAATATATTATTCAAATCTTCAATTTCATTGAATGATGATGTTTGGCTGAGATTCTATCTTGCATAAGAACCTTTCAACTTCCACTGTAAATTTACTCTGGCGGTAAAACATCATGAAATGAAAAAGTATAACATTCTAGGTGAATACAATTTTGAAATACAATTTTAAATAGAAAGTCTCCGTAAATACCTACATGACTGCAAAGTTATTGGTACGAAACTGTGAAAAGCTTGCCTATTTTCTTCAGATTTTATTTTTAATATTTGATCCACGATCAAGCTCAAGCTGTAACTTTACAGTCTTTGTGCACATTATCTCTGATAACAAAGGTTAATATTGACGTGGGTCCCAAAAAGGCCGACAATTGTGCAATTTACTTTTGAACCCAATTTTGTAATCAGTTTTCATATTCTTCCTGGAGTAAACTTTATTAATGACTTGTCATTTTAGGGTCTCCATTATTTTTTTTTTACTGTGAGTTTGGTTTCACTTTCAAAGTTGATCAGTTTATGTATGGCTCACTCAGAAATCTTGTTTATGTCCACAGAATGCTGCTGAACCAGACAGAGTATCTGCATCAAAACTACAGTTTACATTACATGTGGAGACACCATCAAGAAAGTCTCAAACTACAACACGTACAATGATGCGCTTCTTCTCCAGCTTGGGGAACTATGCCTTTGATTTGGATTATCCAAAGTATTTTCACGTGCTTTGAGTTCTTTTCAAAAAATCATAATTAGAGAAAAGTTTTCCTGGCAGATTCCAGCAAATTGATGCAGTTCACTACAAGGTATTTGTGTATAAATTAATTAGATATATTGTTGAAATCTCAGCTAAAGATCAATACTTCAAACTGTAACGCAAACCTTCATAGGTTTTAAAAAACAAGTATAATTCATTGAATTGGAAAATAATTGATTTTAGCCCTATATACAGATATATTCATTTACTTCAAATTCACCCTTTTTGTGTTTGTTTATGTTTTTGTTTCTTTGTTTTGATACTTGTGAAAAATGTAATTGGTCTTAATGTTGGGGTCTTAAAAAAAGGATTGTTGGAAACATACTGATAGGCATGTGGCATATTCACATAAATGTCACATTATTTTTGCTGTCGTGATGTACAATATTCTCTAGGGGTGACCATAAAAATACATTTGTATTTTATTGTGTCCATTTTCATGATTCGATAGAACTGAATAGGCCTTTCACCACAATCCTATAGGTGAAAATGAAGACAGCTTTGTGAAGTGCCCTAAATGCGTTTATTTCAATGTTGTTAATATTGTGACTGAAGTTTTACTTGCAATTTTGAATACTGTTCGAAAACTAAACACACACTGTGAATATAAACACTTGAAAATAATAATAAATGGCGTCACATGTTTAAAATCTGTCACAGGCAATAAACGTGTCACATGTTTAAAATTACAACAGATTGACGTGTTTTCTTTTTGACTGTGTGTTTACTTTTTAAACGTTAGTAGTATTTAAATGTTAAACGCCTTTGATGTATATATTTTAAACACTGTTCCGTTTAAAGATTAAACACCGTCAGTGTGCTGATTTTAAACACCAAATATGTTTTCAAATTAAACATGTTCATTGGATAAACTGCGTCACATGTTTAAAAACTGTCACAGATTAGTGTTTATTTAGGTGTTCTAAACCTAAACACATGGTTTACAGTGTGTGTTTGGTTTGTTAGGAAGCTGCATAACACAGCCTAATTTGCAAAACAGTCGTGTGCTAGGCGGATCATTACGCAACAATGAACACCGCAATTGTGTATTTTCAAAAGGCAGACGCGTAGATTTCTACTCTTTGTATCTGGGCACATATGGATTCTCACCTCCCTCTTCAGCTATTTCGACTTTCTTAAAAAGAAAAATAGAGACTTTCAGCGAATCCAAATTTTGCTAAAAAAGCAAGGTTAACCCCTTACCATTTCAGATTTTTCATACAAATCTGATTTTGCCAAATTTTACTAAATATACAAGGTACACCTCTTAAAATTTAAAATTTTTCATAAACATTTCTTTTTGCCCAATTTTGCTAGAAATACAGGGTTTTGCCCTAACAATCTGCAATTTTCCAGAATCATCTGATTGTGTCCTATTTTGCTTTAAAAAATGCATCCATGTTAAGGTACCTTTAGACCGCGATACATTAATTAGAGCTATGTCGGCTGCCGCTGAAAGGCCTTGCTTTGGGATTCACTGCACAAAAACGAAATTAGTGGCATCATGTACCTACATCTGACGCTCACTCCAAAAGTTTCAAGTCTGAAGCCTTGCCGATTTGACAGCTTGTTGGCGTATTCATCTACTTTCCAACAAGCCATATTTGTCCAAATCCATCCATGTTAAGGTACCTTTAGACTGCGATACGTGAGAGCCATGTCGGCTTGCGCTGACAGGCCTTGCTATGAGATTTACTGCACAAAAACGAAACTAGTGGCAACATGTACATAATTCTGACGCCTCCTCCGAGACTTTCAAGTCCGAAGCCTTGCCGATTTGAAAGCTTGTTGGCCTATATATCCACTTTCCAACAAGCTATATTGTCCAAATCGATCTATTTTAAGGTACCTTTAGACCGCGATACATGAGAGCCATGTCGGCTGGCGCTGACAGGCCTTGCTATGAGATTTACTGCACAAAAACGAAAATAGTGGCATCATGTACCTACATCTGACGCTCACTCCAAAGGTCTCAAATCTGAAGCCTTGCCGATTTGTCAGCTTGTTTGCCTATTCATCTGCTTTCCAGCAAGCTACAGTTTGTCCAAATCCATCCATGTTAAGGTACTTTTAGACCGCGATACATGAGAGCCATGTCGCACTGGCGCTGACAGGCCTTGCTATGTGATTTACTGCACAAAAATTCTGCTGCCAGCAGCAACGCTATCGCCCTCACATTCTGATTCAGTATGCCAGTTTGGAGATTTTTTTTTCGTTGAAAAGCGTAATAATGTAGGAAATTCTGTAAAACTTATCTGTGTTTTAAATTTACAATTCCTGTCACTTGTTTAGGCTCCTTTTCGAATCACGAACGGTCGGATTGCATTTTGCGACGTTCGTTCGTATCCCCCGCCCTGCAAAAAGGACGCTGGGAAAGGCTGACGAATTAACGCTCTGATTGGATAGATTTTGCGTGACCTGTGACCTGCAAGTCATCACGACCACGACCCTGCAAGATTTGAAATTGCCGTTAAAAGCCTATTCATAAATGCAGCGCCCTTTTTTTTTGGTTAATACAGTATAGTGTTGTAGTATTGGGACCCCCCCCCCATTTTTTTAATGTACCGCCTCCCCCACTTTTCGTGGAACCACATTTGCTTTTAATGTTTATCAGTGTACCAATTACTGTTTCATGTGAGATACCCTACCTTCACAGGAAACAGCTATGGGTACATGTAGCAGGATATGATGTCACTTCCTGTGGGGCACTGGAGGGCTGTGTGATGGTCTTTAAATTTGTTCTTGGGTCATTCTGATCTAAGACTTCGATGAGTGAGGAACATTGACCACCACACCAAGCTAAACCAGTGTCCATTCGTCTGTATTCTTGCAGGTATGTTGTATTCTTTTTCATTTTTATCTTGATGACAGATTATGGAAGTGAAGAGAGGAAACATGTACATTTTGTGTCAGAATGTAAAGTTTAGTTAAAAGTAATGCCAGAGTCTGCTAAACTCTTAGCTTCTTTGTCTTTAAGAAAACACACGGTCAGAGTGTGCCAGAGTACATAGACAAATACTTTAGCCTTTACTCAATTTTGCCTTCATAAATGTTTCCTGTTTTGCCTGCTAATTATGTGTAGTCATTGTTAATTTCTGGATTGTCTTTTAATGGAAAAGATAAGTTGGAAAGGTACGGCGTTCCCTTCAACTATTTTGTAACTTGGTACTTACAAGAAAGTACTTTCCGCCCAGGTTTAATCGAGATTGCTCCTAGAGATATTAAGTAGCTTTTGACTTGCTTATACTAGACTGAAGTTGCCAGGTTCTTCAGAGCTAGTTTTGACGGTGCCATTTATAACTTTTATATTGTCCCACTCTATGGAGAGTGACATTGTGACAAGCTTTCACGCTTGAAATTGTTCAGAATAATTAAGAACAATTTCTTTGCTTACTCCTTTTTATTTTATTTTATTGACGACAGTGATTTCCCTATTAGGCCCCAAACAAGTCTCCGGGTTCCGGTATGCGCGCGCGTCGCCGTAGCCATGCGCGTCGGCAAAATGATTTTTTTTTTTTTTTTTTTTTTTTAATATAAGATGATGTCTCAAAACCGCAAAACTCACTGGTTTGACTGGAATCCTGCTCCTGCACAATTTTAATGTGTTTTTAGATGGGGTTATGATCGAGAATAAGCTTTATGTGGCCTCTCTGGACACCCATATATTTGCACTCTAAGTTTAGTCGGGCACCATTTGCCGTCATCAGCCGACATTTGAAGCCAAAAAAAAAAACACAGTAAAAAAAATAATAAATCCGCGTCGCCGCACCACTTTTTGGGCAAGCTCCATACCAGAAACCGGAGACTTTTTTTTGGCCTGATAGACTTTACCCTTTTTTGGCTTATTCCATACATGTACTTCAGGACATTTTGTACTGCTAGATGACATGTATGTATTGTACATGTGCATGAGTTCTTTGATAGTTAGTGCACAGCATGGGAAGCACTCATGCATAACAATTAGTAGTGAGTCAGTCCTGGACTAGAGATAAAAAGTGAGGTTGAGACATGGTCAGTATCGATTTAGGTGATAGAATCGATTATGTTTATTCAGAAACAGGACAGAATCGATATTATTATCGATACCAGAGTCGATTTTCGAATCATGCTTAGGCCCCCAAAAAAATCTCCGGTTTCTGGTATGCGCGCGCGTCGCCGTAGCCATGCGCGTCGGCAAAATGAAAAAGTTTTTTTTTCAATGAAAGATGATGTCTCAAAACCGCCAAACTCACTGGTTTGACTGGAATCCTGCTGCTGCACACTTTAAACGTGATTTTAGATGGGGTTATGATCGAGAATAAGCATTGTGTGGCCTCTCTGGACTCGGGCACCATTTGAAGTCATCAGCCGACATTTGAAGCAAAAAAGTCAGGTTAAAAAAAAAAAAAGCCGCGTCGCCGCATCACTTTTTGGGCAAGCTCCATACCAGAAACCGGAGACTTTTTTTTGTTGGCCTTATTGAGTTATTTTTTGCATTTGTTTTTACTATTGTGTTGTGATTCTGATTTAAGACTTCGATGAGTCAGGAACATTTACCACACACCAAGCTAAACCAGTGTCCATTTGTCTTTATTCTTGCAGTTTTGCAGTCTTTTTAATGAACACTCTGCAGCGGCTGCTCCCGTGGCCGTTGGGGGGGGGGGGGTAACATTTGGCGACCACGAGGGGACTCGAACCCTCAATCTTCCGTTGTAGTATAATGTAGGAAAATCTGTAAAACGTATCTGTTTTGTAAATTTTCAACTCCCGTCAGTTGCTCAAATCAGGCTCCGTTTCGAATTCACGTACGAAGGATCGAAATGCATATCATTCGACGCTCAAAATGGTCCGCAATGAAAAAGAAATTACATCCGGTATTGTGTGTATGCATTTCAATGGCAAACTTTTCGGATAGCATTTGCACGCATTGGCTAACCGCGGTCTACAACTGCAGCCACATGCTTTATACATAGGTCATGATAAATTACCCAGAATGCCATCCCCACTTCCCTCACAACATTCTGTGAAGCTCATCTGCCCTTCCCAGCGCCCTGTTTTCAGGGCAGGGGGTACGAGCGAATATTCGACGCTCAAAATTGTGTCCACATGGTCCGCAATGAAACAGAAATCACATCCGGTATGGAACGTGTGCATTTCTATGGGTAGTTTTCGGATAATATTTTCGCACATTGTCTAACTGCGGTTTTGAACAGCTGCCGCCAGATGCTTGATACATATGTCATATATAGGCCAATTCCTTCACAAGATTCTGTGAGGCGTCCTGTTTGCAGGGTGGGGGTACGAGCGAACCCGTGCGACGGTCTACTACGCATGCGCATTTACCCTGTGCGTGAATCCTCGCGCGCACTTGGTAAACAGCAAAAAATAACATCTGGCACGTGTTGATGAATTGACCAGTGAGAGTTCGGCTCTCAATCATGAATATGTATGAGGTATAGTAATACGCGATATCGTGCCCGGCAGTTGTTGCATTACAAAACACTGCATTCGAATTGACCAATCAAATCGTTTAGTCCTGATTTAGGAATGAAATGACGTCACGATTTAGTAAAGTTGACTCCGATTGGCTGGCGCACGGCTTGCATAAATTTAAATGT